AGAGGAGCTGCTGGGGCTCCCGCAGCCTCCGCGACCCTCAGGGACAGTCCCTGCTGGTTTTCACAGCCCGGAGTTGTGGGGGCGTCTCTTCCGGGCCTGGAGCCCTGGGCTGGGGGCCTGCTGTGAGGCTGGGACCCCTCGCTCCTCCGGGAAACCCCCACCGCCGAGATTCCCTCCGGGGTTTAACCTGCGGCACCGGGTGTGGGCCTGCGGCCGTGTCTCTGGGATTCAGCCCCGATCCACCCCTATCCCCGCCCCTCCTACAGTTCTCTGTGCTGCTTCAGGTCCCTGGTTGTGGGGCTTCTGTGCAGCCAGATTTTGGGAGGCTCTGAGTGATGGTGGTTCTGTATTTTAGTTGTAATTTTGATGTCGTTGTGGAAGGCGTCAGGCGCAGCTGTTACCTACGCCGCCATCTTCGAGAATACCTTTTAAAATGCAGCTTTGTTATTTTGAAGTAAATGGAGTATCCGCTACTACCAGGAAGCGACACTAGTGACTGTTATGAGAGTGGGCCCTTCACCCATACCCTTCCTGGGCAGGAATCTGGCTTTACCACTTGCTGTTTGAGCTGGACCATTTTTTTTTTTTAGCCTTTTACCTTCTCTCTTCCTCAGTTTTTTAATCTGTGGAAATGCAGGTTTGAAATAGAACACGCTTAACAAAGGATTAAATGAAACATGTATGTGAAGTTCTTTGACAAATGCTTAGCTTTAGAAAGTACCCAACAAATGTGAACCTTGATATTTCTTCAATGCACTTTCACACCTGGCACTCATTTGCTCTAATTTCACCACAAAATGTTGTTAGGTGGATTTTGCTAATAAAGACCCAGAAAGGTTAAGTGGTTAGTTCAAGGAGAAGCAGCCAATTATGTACAAATGCCCCAGAAATCTCACAATAAAAGGGATTAAAAATTATGGTTTGTTGATTCTTGTAGGCCTGGCCAAAGCTCCACTCTTCTTAGCAAGTCTTAGTCTAGGCTCTAGAGAGATGTTTCCATTCATTTTTTTTTGTAGCTGTCATTT